CTGAAAATCTGTTCCTTGCCATGTTTTTCTCCTGTAACATAAACTATGTGCCCTGTGAATTTCCGGGGACTGAATTTGAAATTGCTCCTGCCAACTGTTTGTGGCCTGGCGTGTATCTGAATGCCTGAATATCTCCCTGCTGAATGAATTTCGTATTCTGACCTGAATTCACTCGGGTTTATTGATTGGCTGGACGATCTTGGTGCCGTTCCAGAAGAGTCATCGAAGGAAAAGATCCAGGAGTGTAGAGGATGATGAGGAGGGTCACCTGATCTGTCAGAGTGGAGACGTACTAAGTGCAAGATGTATAGAATATTTTTCAAAATTTATTAACTTTTCAGATAGAATAAGTTCTTTTAGAATAAGATGTGAGGGGGCTTTGGAAGTCTTTTCTTTCTGTCTTGACTTTTTTTGTTTGGGGGTGGGGATTGTTACTCTTTTTTCTGTAGAACTTAAATATTTTTCTTTTTTCTTTTCCCCCCTTTTTTTTTCCCCCCCCAAAATAGTAAATGAAGTTAATGAACCTACTAGAACGAGACCCCTGTAAATGTGCCTTGATGAGAGTTGTCCAGTAACATCTCTCAAACTAGATATTTACAATTTAAAGCAGTGCAGTCTAGAATAGTGTCAGTGATAGTACTTAGTCTTTTTGTTTTATTTTTCTTTGTTTGCTTGTTTAATAGCTGAGTAAGTTCACAACTTCTGTTACAGAGAGTTCTTTTCTTTATAGATGAGGTTGTTGCTACTTTGGGTGAAGGTGCTTTTGGAAAAGTAGTGGAATGCATCGATCACAAAGCGTAAGTCTTGAATTAAATACATGTAATTTTTCTTACCAGTGCTATCTCAGTGTGGTTCATGAAGGGCTTCCTGATTGTACCAGGTGTTATCTTTACTTCTCATATGCTGCTCTGTGTATTTCTTTAAGGCTGCTGCAGTTCCCAAACGTAAATGTATGTTGGTGCATCCTGCTAAAAACAGCACCCAGACACAAGGGTTGTGCAGGACTGGTGGATGAGGCAATGGGCGCATCATCTCCTGCAGGCGCACCCCAGCCTGGCAGGGGTCGAGGGCTGATGGGGGAGGTGGCCTAGACAATGTGGGGTGAAGCTGCCCCCCCCCCCCCCCCCCCCGGAAGTCCTGGGGCCTGCACCACCCCAGCTCTGAACAATGAGCAACATTTCTGACATCATGTAGTTTACCTTAAAGTATCATCTGTGATGATGCAACGCCATTTGGGTTCTAGCAGCGAGCATGTTATTAATCAAGAATGTATTTTGTGTTTGATGGCAGTTTTGCTGTGTGCAAAATAGTATGAAACTACGTTGTTTTTCCGGTCACTGTAGAAGGCATTTGACACCTGAGTTATGTTTTTACTAATTAAATGACTGAAGGCAGCTTGTCATTTTTGACTGACAGTTGTGTTAGGCTGCGATAGGTGATGTTTCTCCAGTGCTAGCCCAGCATACGTAAATACAAAGGGAAAGTAAATGGGGCTTTTAACCTTTAAGAATAAGACCGAAAATAAGGTATTGAGTGTGTTTTCAAAATTTAAAGATTATAGTGTGTTTGTGCAGAGATGAACCTTGATTTTATTAAGTCAGTATGTACTTAAAAAAAACACCTTTTCTGATGAGGTTGCCATTGTGGGTGATAATTACTGAATATTCTTAATTAAAACTAGTCATTGCTCTCACTACTTTTAAAACCTGTCTTTTCAGGGAAGACAGACACGTAGCTGTGAAAATAGTAAAAAATGTTGATAGGTACTCTGAAGCAGCTCGTGCAGAAATACAAGTACTGCAACATTTAAATGCATCGGATCCCACCAGTAAATAGTAAGTATACAAAGCTGACTGTACTTTGTTTTGGCTTTGATTTCTGTGACATCGTTTTCTGTAACATATGCCCTATATACGTGTTACACAACTTCCTGTTGCGATTCATGTGTTTTCCTGCTTTTGCAGTTCCTGTGTCCAGATGTTAGAATGGTTTGAGTACCATGGACATGTCTGCATTGTTTTTGAGCTACTGGGGCTCAGCACCTATGACTTCATTAAAGAGAATGGCTTTCTGCCATTTAGACTGGACCACATTCGACAGATGGCGTATCAGATCTGCAAATCTGTGAACTGTAAGTATGTTTCTTGTTTGATTTGTTAAATTTTCTTAATGGAATTTGCTAATTATACTTGTTATTTTTGCAGTTCTGCATTTGAACAAGTTGACACATACAGATCTGAAACCAGAAAATATTTTATTTGTGACGTCTGACTATGTAGAAGAGTATAACCCCAAACTGGTAAGGTCCTGTCCTCTTCCCCGCTCCCCCTTCAGCCCTTGTCTGGGTTTACTTGGTCATTGGCACCCCACTGTGTTTCATTTCAGAAATGCGATGAACGCACACTAAAAAATCCAGCCATCAAAGTTGTGGACTTTGGAAGCGCAACATATGATGATGAGTATCATAGCACTTTGGTGTCTACAAGACATTACAGAGCTCCTGAAGTTATCCTAGGTCAGTAGAAGTCTGTTAGGCTCATCTTCTGTGTGAGACTTTTGGCATGCTGTTGAACTCTTGCAGCTTGCTATAAACACAAACCTTCTGAATCTTTTTCGCAGCACTTGGATGGTCACAACCATGTGATGTTTGGAGCATAGGATGCATTCTCATAGAATATTACCTTGGATTCACAGTATTTCCGGTAGGTAACCAAGAACCTCAAAATGATGCAGCATCTATAATGTTCCTCAGCTTGATGAAAATATGCTACAGAGAGGTGATGACCAAGGGGAATCATCGGTGCAAGAAATTAAGCTGCATTTCTCTGTAATGCCAAGTTGAAGAGAGCGGACGATGTAGGCACAAAGGAATTTCCTCAGCAGCAGATTTCTCCAAGTTGTACCTGTTAACATTTGTAATTTACAAGCCACACTAGTAACAGATGTAGCTTCAAAAAGGAAGTGAGGTTAGTGTGTGGTTCTTGTTAACTCCCTCTAGCAATGAACAAAACATATCTCTCTCCATTTCCCTCCAGACGCATGACAGCAAAGAACACCTGGCAATGATGGAGCGAATATTGGGGCCTTTGCCAAATCACATGATTAAAAAAAGCAGGTAATTGCATTTTTCTGTACCTAGACTGCTATAGTTTAATTTAAATATTTTCAGATTTGGTTTAGTAGCAAATTTTTAAAGAAAGTTTAATAAACTCAGATTCATCCTTCTGTTCTATTTAACAAGCTGGCCACTCTTGTGGAATATTCCCAGCTCATTTCCCAAGTTGAGAACAAACATGCTGATAAACTTCTAGTGAAGGGACAAAACAGAATCTTGGAATAACAAACTGTGGTCTGTTTGTTTAAGGAAACGCAAATATTTCCGTCATGACCGGCTGGATTGGGATGAACAAAGTTCTGCTGGTAAATATGTCTCGAGGCGCTGTAAGCCACTGAAGGTAAGATGACAGAGGGAGAATGCTTTTGGGGGAGAGGAGCTTTAAGTGCAATTATGAGAGTCAAGAGACATGTTTTCTTGTTTCCTTCACAAAGGCATTCATGACCTGCCACGATTCTGACCACGAGGACCTCTTTGACCTCATTGAAAAGATGTTGGAGTATGACCCAGCCAAGCGCATTACTCTTGAAGAAGCACTGAAACATCCTTTCTTCTTCCCACTGAAAAAGGAAAAAAGGGCGCTGTCTCCTGTAGCTGAGGCTGACACAGATGTCAGTCCACCAAAGAAATATAAAAAATGTTAAATATTTATTGTGTACAGTTATTTTGTAAATGCCTTATTTTGTATTACAACTTTTTGGATACTGAAGTTTAACCCAGCTGCTGGCATAAAACTTAAGAAAAAGATACTGATGAACTTGGTTGCATTTCCTCAGTAAATAAAAAAATCTCAGGACACTTGTACTTTTAACACATGGAAAAGAGTACCCTCTATAAAACAGGCCTCCTAACAGCAAGCATTACTTCAATAATATTTTATTCAGCTGTCATTGGAATAGCAAAAGACCTAGGACTTTTATCTTTTAGTGTCACTGGTACTTCCTTTTTGAGTAAGAGAACAGAGACAGCCCTTGTGTAAGGATGGCCTTTATTTGTTTTAAAAAAAAGTTACAAAGTAAGATCAGTGTGATATTGAATAGATTGCATTGTGATCACCCATCTTTTTATTTTTTTATTTATTTTAGTAGGTATACTCTGGTTACCAGTATTTCAGTTAATGCTCATTATTAGCTTACAACAGTATAGATGTCACTCTTTTACCAAATCTTTCTTGAATTATGAGCTGTCCTGAGACTTTCCATTAATTCAGAGTTTCAGGGAGCAGGTAAGCTGTTTGGTTTAACCTGTCAACTGTCCACATCAAATAATCTCTAAACTTCAGGGGGAAGGGGTAGAGTTTAGTCCACCTTACCTTACCTTTCAGCAGTCATGCATTTACAGAGCAGCACAAGCAAGCTGCGCCCCTGCCCCAGCCCTGCTAGCAGCATAGGCCAGGGCTCTAGAAAGCTGTTGGGCAGCAGTGCATGGAACAGCACTGCTTGTGCTTCCACGAGAGAAGTGGCAAGACTCCCCCAGAACTGTAAGGCAGCCGGACAGCCCCTCAGGGAATCAGGCCAGCAGGCTCAGAGATGCTGCTCTTCATGCCCCACCACAGTTACTGTTCACTGCCACCAGAACAGCTCCTCTCCCATAGGACACTGAGCTCCCAGGAGTGGGGCAGCTGCCTCACCCAGCAGCTGGAAGAGAGGATTGCTTTATGCTGGACATATGATAAAGAGATGACAAAGTCCTGGGGGAGATGGACAACCACCTATGGAACAGGGTTATTTGGAGAAAGTGGTACGGACTGAAGTGTCACACCAAGTTACCACACAAGCCATGGCCTCTTCCTTTTTGAGGCTTTTTATAGTTTAATTTGCAAACAGAACTGCCATAAATCTCATTCACCATATCATGTCTACTCAAATATAGATAGAAAACCCAAGGGGTAAAATGGATTTCATTGTGGAAGGCCTTAAATTACATTATTACAGTAGAAAATACAGGAGGTAGAATATAACTGAAAGGACAAATGCAGGTTAGAGTCAAATCTATAATAGCTCTGTAAGCTACTTAAAACATGGTTTTAAAAACTAAACCCAGTATTTCAATAACTATAGAAAACAGTTAAAATAAATTGCCATGAGAGCCCTTATATCATGCTTGATACAGGGAGGTAGGATGTAAGAATCAGAAGGACACATGAGACATGACACTTATCTACAGCTCCTGTTTACTTTACTGAGGACAGTTTCACAGCTCAGTCACCCTCTTCTGCTTCAGACTCCGACTCTGGAACAGAGGGACACCTTGTCAACAAGCTGCCAGCAGGTCAGCCCCTCCCCCAGCCCCCCAGTTCAGCTGCTGCCCTGCATCCTAGTTGCTATTGGATCCACATGAATTTCACGAACAAGCTTTTCTAGCCAGTACTGGGGGGCACACCTAGACTCAGAAGCACAATTAACACCCACCCCCCACCCCCGAAACAAAGCATTATTGCACTAAGGTTCCCAAAATGAACAGGCTCAACTTGTGAGCTAAGCTCCTTGGTTACCTTCTTCAGCATTCTTGAGCCATTCAACAAACTTTTTCATTTGCTCCAGAAAAACGCTCTTTCCTTTTGCAAGATGTGCATCTTTATACCACTTCAGGATGGGTTCTTCGCTCAGAACTTCAGCTGTAAGATGTGCAAGAGCAGTATTAACACAGCACACCACTGAACACCAGCTGCTGAGAACGCCTGACAGGGGGCCTTTGCTTCCTCCCCTAGAACCATCACCATATATAGTCCCTTCCCTGGATATGGCTGGACATACCTGCACCAGGAGTGCCTCCTATTTTAAAATTCTGAGAACCATGCATTTCAGATCAGCTGCTGGGAGTTTCCTGAGCACTCACTGCACCTAGGAGCTGCACTTTCACTCCCACTAACAGCCTTGAGTATTTCATAGCTATTAGAGTACATCACCTCAATGGAAAGCTTCAGTCAATAGCTAAGAACAGATGCAAATTCTTTAAAGCCCAAAGCACACCACAGGAAATGTTTAGTTTTTAAAATTTTACAATTATAACATACTCTTCAGTTTAACAAGCTTCCTTATGTTCCTGTGGTGTTTCCATAGGTGTGCAGCATGTTTTTCAGTAACACCTTTTAACAGCCATTTAACAGAGAGCCTAGAGCACTCCAGAACACCTTGGTGGTCTCAATCTCTGGCTGTTAAGAGTCAGTGTTCAGACAGAGAACTAAGAAGAATACACTATCATGTCTCTTTCCCTAACTTAAAAGGGCCAAAGACCCTTAAAAATCTATATTTAGCTCCTATCTACCACAACTCTTAAAATCTAGTAGACAGGCAGGATCCATGTCTAGAGAAGTATTTCCCCATGTGCCAAGGACAGCCACATCCACCATTGCATTTTACTGCTCCATCTTTGCAAAGAAGAGGTAGAACATTCTTCAGCCTATGAAGTGCAATGTTATAGCACTGATCTTCCCTAAAGGTCTTACCAGGACTGAAGCATTCTGCAAATACAGGCCTTAAAAAAAAAAGAAAGGAAAAAACCCAACCAAACAAAAACAACCCCCCAAAACTACAACCCCACAGAAGTTACCTTTATAGAAGAGCACCACTATTTTCTGGAAGGCCTTCATGAAGTGAATGTTGTCATAACAGTACTCCTGAATCTTCAACAGAAGAGTCAGCTCTGACTGACCTTGGGTAGTAAAGGCAGCAAGTAGAGGGCTGTATTGCTGTAACAGGAACGACAAATTGGCACACACTGAGCACTTCACATTTATCGCCCGACTAGACTGGTTTTACACAGTTTCCATCAGCCACTGCTTAGAAATTTGCAACCCCTGCCCCACCTGAGCGTCCTTGTGCAGAAGTTGTACTGCTTTTGCCTCAGTAACTTGGACTATAACACCACAGTTAAAAGGGGAAGAATTCCCTGTCTAATGCTGTCTCTGCATCAGAGGCATTGTAGGTCTTAACTCATTTAAAAGGGAACTGGAGACAGAGGGAAGCCCGAGCCCTACCCAGCGGGTGCCAAAGTCTACACTTCAGTTACAATACCTTCAAGTGCTTAATGGCTTGCTCTGCTACCAGCTCCTCCTTTTTGTTCCATTCCACTGTGCTCATTACACTTGACCAGATTATGGCTACCACAGTCTGTTCTGAGATGTTGTTTTTCTTCATCTCCTCCTTCACATACAAGATTATCTGCCAGTTACAGTAAGAGTCAGCACATATGCTACATACAATGCTAAGCAAAATTAAAACTTCTGTTCTAAAGGTAACCCAGAAGCCTTCAGAACCACAAACAACCCCCCTTGATCATACAGCAGGATTCAGGACATAAGGAAAGACTACAAAGCTAATACCAAAACACTCTGGTCCTAATGTTAATTCTTAGTGAGAGCTATATGTTTAAGTTCAGTATTTAATTAGGCATATCTCTTCTTCAGATTAGTATTAAAGGCTATTGTATTTCAGATAATTTGAGCTAAGTTCCTACCAAAAAAAATTTTTTTTTCTTTTAAAAAAAGCAGCATACCACCTTGTCTACAGACAAACACTTACATCCTTGAATGGATCTCCCCGTGACATCTGCTCCTGAAGTTCTTTCTGCAGCTCTTTCCGAGCCCCTATGGTTTGCTGGTTCCTAACATATTCGGAAAGTTCTTTTAGTCCTGCTTCAGTGAAGTACTTGGAGAAGTGTTCAACACTTTGTTTGTTGGCTGGGAAGAGTTCCTAAAAACAAAGTTTACAAAGTCTTTCACAAAAGAAATGCATGTTGAGTACTTTGCTGGTAAATGCTATTTACTAAACTGCCTTAAGCAGTACATCAGTAATTTCAGCGGTACTCACCATCAGCCTGTTATCCATGTTTACTTTACGAAGACTGACAGCCACTGCATTAATATCTTTCTCATTTATCCAGGATTTGAACAGCTTGACTGCAAAAGCTGCAGAAACACCTGTGCAATAGGAGCAGTACTATTACTACTGAAATTCAAAACAAAGGGAATCATAAGGCCTGAGAGTACAGGGCACCTACTTTGTCAGACCCCTGTTCAAAGCAGCAGCAGCGGTGCTCCGAAGCAGCCCTAGCACCATCTGCAGTACCTCTGCCTGAGGACACTGCAGCCTCCAGCACGTTGGACTTTTCTTACCGCGCAGCATCACGAAGGATTCCCTGTACTGAACTCAACTCTCCTTGCTGCATTTTAGGAAGGAACCTAAAGACACGACACACCTTCTGCATCCTGAAAGGTCCCTCTCTGAAATACAGTACTGCCTTGCTGGGCAACACTAGTGACAGCAGCCCCTGGTGTCATACAGGGAAGTCCTACACACAAGCTTTCTGACAAGACTAGTTTTCTACAGTCTTAGGAAGACCTTCCAGGTTGTGAGGCAGCATGTTTACTTTTGCCAATCCTGTAGTTAATCTATTGCCAGATGAAGCTTGTGAGCCGCAAGGGTGTACTGTCGTCATGATTTCCACCTACTTGTCATGGTTCTGTCCCCCCCCCCCCACTCTCCCCTAAAGGAGAACTTGGGGAACACTTACCTTCTTTAACCAAGTTCTCATTGTAAAGACTGTTGAGAATTGACGCATTAAGTGTCCCATTGGCTAGCAGAATACCCGTCAACATGGCCAGTTTGTTCCGCTCAGACTCCGAGAACCCTTTCAGGAACAGCAGCAACTGCAAGAGGAAGTAAGAAGAGGTGGCATAAAACTACCACCTCTCACTAAAGTTTGGCTACTGCCTCCATGTTAGACACTTTTGTTTCAATCAAGCTATTCAACTAGCAGAAGCACTAGTTTGCTGGTAGTCTTCTCCACTAGTCATACAAGCTAGCTGTTCTTCCATTAATAACTTAGAAGTGTTCTATTTTAATAACCCATTGTATGATATAACTCTTCTGTATAGAGCGATTAACTAACAGAATTTGAAGGTTTATTTGTCTGCTGATAAAGACGTACTTCATACCTTTTTGACTTCATCTTCAAAGCCTTTCTCCAGGTACTTGTAACGCCTGATTAGCTTGTTAAAAACCTAAAAAGATATGGAGTATTATTTTTTGCTCTGAACTACCATTTAATTAGAATAAAAAAAAAAAATCAAGTTCAGTTAAGTTGGTCCGTACTCTTTAGAGCACTGTTAGCTTAAAACAGTGCTACTCTATCTACCTCTTCTAGTAAGCTTCTTAAAGCCATGCATTATTTTTACCTAAACTTTCAACTACACAAACATTTCATTTTTGACCACTAAACAGTTTAAGTTAAATTGTACTCATTTGAGAACTAACCTGAGCAAATGCTTGCATGGTTTCTAGGTCTTCCTGTGCTGCAAATACACAGACGTTTGTGCGTGTCATGTCATCTGCCAGGGTACCACCTGGGGCTAAAGAAAGGTTTCAGCATTAGTGGTATTACTCCCCCAGTGAGAGTACTGAGTAGTCCCCACAGAATTCCAATACCCATAACATGCAATGCATTGACCTTTCTTGATGAACTGAATGACTGGATCACTGAAGACACCCCTACTTTTCCATCTGCTCCACTGCTCTAGTGGAACTTTAAGATCAGTAGCTTAGATATGAACACTTAAATTACCTGACCCCCTACTGCTAAGTGGATTGGCAACACATCTTGTTTACATATTGTCATGGTTTAACTCTAGCACCACACAGCTACTCACCGACTCCTCCCTGCCCCCCAGTGGGATGGGGGAGAGAATCAGGGAGTGGGGGGCTCGAGGGGGAAGTAAAACTCATGGGTTGACATAAAGACAGTTTAACATGACAGAAAAGGAAGGGAAAATACTACTACTAAGAGAATATACAAAACAAATGATGCACAAGACAACTGGTCACCACTTACCAAGCAGTGCCCAGCCAACGCCTGAGCCGCAGTGCCCCCCAGCCAACTTCCCCCAGTTTATATACTGGGCAGGATGTAATATGGTATGGAATAACCCTTTGGCTCATTTGCGTTAACTGTCCTGGCTGTGCCCCCTCCCAGCTTCTTGTGCACTCCCAGCCTCTATACACAGGGCAGTATGGGAGGCTGAAAAGTCCTTGACTTAGTATAAACATTGCTTAGCAACAACTAAAACCTCAGTGTGTTACCAACATTACTCTCATCCTAAATCCAAAACACAGCACTATACGAGCTACTAGGAAGAAAATTAACTTTATTCTAGCTGAAACCAGGACACATATTGGTAAGTTAACATGACCACATGAGCTCCTCTTCCCTTAAAGGAAGCCACTGAAGCTGCCTAACACTAGCAAGTGTCTTTTTAGTGTCTGCTGCAGTACTGCTGCTTTGTAAGCAAGTGTCTTTTAAGTAACAGAGTAAGTCACAACAGGAGATGAAACACATGGAGATGCATGTTCAAAATTCAGCGCCCCAGAAATGAGCTTGAAACTTCAGTCTTGAAAGGCACCTCAGGTTTTTAGCTGCTAATTAGAAGATGCTTCTTCACCATTCCTCTTCAGTTTAATACGGGCATTTGACTGGTAGCCAGGCTGCTTCACTAACTAGGGTGAATTTCAAGTCACCAGCTCTGATGCCAGAATACCTCATCACCAATTTCTATGCCATCCTACATGTAAGGGAGATCCTTTCGTTATGTATTAGTCAGAAAAATGACTTAAAGATGGAGATAAAGCATTAATGGTAATAATATTAAAGGTGGTGAGCCAACAGGATAGATGCCAGTTTTTATTTTGGCCTTGCCTGAATAAAGGTCAAAGCTAGTCTACTTACCTACTTTTTACAGAGGGAGTTGAATAAAGGATGCCTGTATCACCATTAATGCAGCAATGCATTTTTCCCTTCCCTCTCAGGCTCATTTCTAGAAGGAACACTTCCTAACACAGTACACACTGGTCAAGACTCTTGAATGTAAACCCACAGATTGTAACAAGTTGTACATTAACAACTTCAAGCAGTGATGCTCCATGTGGCAGACAAGTTTACTTACTCATGCTACCAAGCTCTTTCAGCATCAGCAAAAGAACCTCTTGCCAAAAGGAACATCACAGTAACTTCAGTCTACATAACACTGTTTCAATACACAGCTTTGAGATAAGCAGGCACGTGAAGTTAAACCACTCTGAAAGCCTTGCTTTTTAGTGTTTGAGCAAGCCGCCTGACATTTCTACAGCATCAGTGTGAAGACCTCCTCAACATGCAACAGATGCATCCTCCCAAACCAGCCACCCCCACTGCAGAACTGCCATCCACAGTCTGACTGTAGCCCAGAATCAGGTGTTTCCTCTCCTCCCCCTATGCATTTAGGTCATTTGAATTCTATTTCTGTTACATTACAGAAAATCTTCTGCAACTGCCAAACTTCTCATTTAAGTCCTCCCTCCCAACTATTGCGTAACAAATGCTAAAATCGGAGACAGACCTTTTCCAGCCTAGGCAGACAACATAGAGGGTCCTCTTTGCAGCCTGTATTTTACATGGGTCCCTGCCACCTGAACCCCTTCTCACTAAACAGTATTTAGTCAAGTAGGAAATGTCTAAATCTAGAAGCACCACTTTTTTTTTTAAACTACTTTTGAACCTCATTTAGCTTCCTTTATTTCTTACCTAGTTGGTGAGCATCTGTTCCACTCTGCTCTTTACACACAGTGTGCACATGAGTTTACAAGATTTTTCATCATCACGTTTCACTTCCTCAGTTCCCTGTGTTTTTTGCTGACTCAACCACCCTCTCATTTCTCACTCCCTGACATCTGCTAGAGCCCATGACTTCACTATTGTCAACAACAAACGATTTATAATAGCATTTCCAAGACTAAGCAGATCAGCTTCTTCTGTGAACAGTCTTACTTTCCAAAATAACAGGGCAGGGTGCACAAAGCACAGGATCATGTCAGAATCTTTCAGGGCAACTCCATTGGTCTTGCAACCACAGACCACCCACCAGAAACAAGCATTCATCCTTCACACATCAGCAGAAGTGAACCTGACTACAGAGTCAAGATCCCCTCCTGGTTAAAAAAACAAAAACCAAAACAACCAAAAAAAAACCACCCCAACAAACCTCCAATATATTTTCCTTTAAGCCAAGTTTGTACAGTTTACACTTTGAAGAATGCACACTGACTCAAGCAAAACTGCAGTAGGTTATACAGGGTATTTCTACAGTAATCTGATTGCTCAGTCAGTCACTAAGATGGTCAGATAGTTTACCACAGATAACTTAAACTCTGTTCTACACACTCAATGGGCTCCTTAGCAGAATTTTTACACTGAAAGAAAACAGTGAGCTTTTGTAGTCAAGTGAATAAAGGCTGACAGCAGCCCCATCAAAGGGACTTACCCAGCATTCCACCAGCCACCAGGATGTCAAAAAGCGTTTCCGCATAGCGGCGATAGTCAAGTTTTGCACCAGAAGCATCAAGAAACTTTGCTACTGCCTCCAAGTCGGTGCCGGTTTCGGTTAAACCTTGAATAATACAGTCCTGGAACTGAGTAGGGTCAAACCTCTCTTTTTCATCTGTAAAGACAAAGCATTGAAATAAAGTTGCTACACACAGCTGTCTGGTTTTTAAAGTTTGTAATTTCAATCTTATTAAAAAAACACAAACCCAAACTTGCACTGACAAGCCTGACAACTGGTATTAGCTAGCACAAATAGTGACTTAACAGCATAGCCTAAAATGAGTTTCAGTGGCCAATACAGCAGTAAGAAGTTTTACTACTTTCACTCCCCTATTTGGTCAAGGCTGGGGGAAAGGCTATCAAAAGCTAAAACATTCCTTAATTACCCCTAATTGAATTCTTACTGTACTTTCACCAAGAAGAACAGTTGTTTGTGATCATCATTAGTTGGCTCTAACAAAGCTTACATGACTTCTCAGTTTGATTCTTATACTCCGGTTCACATGTTAGACCACTTTTTCCCTCCAAAAACAGATGCTTAGCTACATGCTGGAAGGCAATTCTTCATATGTGCCCCTACAATTTTGTACATTTGACTCCATTACTCATGTTCCATTTCTGCCCTTGGGGCCTCTCACTGTTTTGGACAAATTATTCTGACTGAAAAGCTGCGTACCATTATCACGTTAGAGCCAACCGACAAGACTTGCTTTGTGGCTATGAAGACCATCCCCTCCTCTTAATATGGAGTTAAATGAGTCTGAAGCAATTGCTTTTCCTCAAGTGCCTGGGGGAATCAGAAATCTGAGCTAATATCTTGGTCTTAAATAAACATGAAATGATGGACTGTAACTGCAGATCTATTTAGCATCCTTTGTTGTTGTTAAAGCAGAACACACGCTTCTTCATGTTTGAGATGCATCAGTCAATCATAGTCTTGTTTTCATTATCGGTAGGGCTTAGTTAATATGCAACAAATCCATCCGTGTAACTAACAGAAAGCCTTAAATGGAAGAGGTCTTCAAATTTATTCAACCCAATTTGTCCTTAGATTATGCAAACCACGAGAGGAAAAGCTGCAAATCTTAGAGTGCTGTCCACAACAGCTTAGCCAGTTCTGTTAGCAACCCTTCTGTAAGGGGCGTACTAGTGTCCTTACATTCAAGGCAAGTATCAACACGTTGGTAACAGCTGGGTGGAAGTCTGGAAATACTGGATCAGTTATTTTCCACGCCAGATCTGTGAAGCTCATTGTTACCGCAGAGCTGCTTGGAAGCCAAATTATGGTTAAATGCTTAAAAAGAGACAAAAACCTAGGACACTAGCATTTCATCTGCTGGACAGACTAAATCCAACTCTCTCACTTCAACTGTTTCTCAAGGTGCTTTTATTTTAAAATAGGTTCTGTAAGTCAACACATACTTCTGTACAACTTAACTACTAGTTCAATATGTACAGCACCCTTAATGCTGTCAGTTTGAGCTAGAACACTGCTAGTATATTAGTAAAACAGTATTAAACAGAAACTCTAACAGCTGTCCCCACTTCCTCTTTAGGTTTAAAAAAACACCACCAAAATCCTAAATTACTCACCACACCTCTTCACTCATCAACTCTTCTTATGGGAGAAACTGTGCACACACAGAGATAGGCACTTGCAGATCCCACACTTTTCGTGCTTTTTGTTTGGTTGGTTGGGGGGTGGGGTTTTGGTCTTTTGTTTTGTGTTTGGGTTTTTTTTTTTATTATTTAAATCAGATATTCTTATAGCATTAAGGGACAATGTAACTTTTATCCAGTGGCTAACACTGAAATTCCAGCTAGGTTAGATGCTCCTCAGATGTACGTATTAACCTGCAACAAGCCTGTGCTGGCGTTCCCCTGTAACTCAGGGGTACTAGGTACTTCTGCTTTCAGGCTAAACATGCTCAGTACAGTTCTAGAAAGACCATCTCTTAAGCCAGGTTATCACTGTAAATTCAGCTACAGTTCTTAGTGGCAAATATTTTTTTATTAGCGCAGAGAGCACTCTAGCACCCAGAGTGAGCCTCAAGACTTTCTATCTAGCACGGTCCATTTAAAAGATTTATGAGAAAAGCATGAAGGCGTTGTTAGTTTATCACCAGAAACCAGCTTTTTACAGTGGGCCACACGCACAGCACCGACAGCGGGTACCGGCAGTACGCACACCGCGAACAGCTTACCTCTTTTTCTAGTTTTAAAACGCTGGCCCGATAGCGTCGGCTTCTGCGGCTTTTGATTATTCATAAAAGACACCCTGCAAGGAAGCAGGCAGGCACCTCAGCGCGCTGACGACGGCGCCCGCCCGCCCGCTCCCAGCCCGGCCTCCCCC